GTTTCTTTTTCTTCTAATATTCACTCAAATAGTTTCAAGAAGGCTTTCTTCTCTAGTATTGTGTATTTCTATAGAGGTATAGTACTGTATTTTTGCACTATAAGACGCACGCCCAAACAAAAAAGTGGGTGGAAATGTCTTATAAAGCAAATATTGCGGGGGGGGGGGGGGTAGGTGCAGCGACGGTGTTTGCCACCATCTGTCACTGCTTCCGCTGTTTGCCGCCACCAAGGAATGCTGGAGCCTTTGCTGCCGAGCAGCTGATCGGCAGTTGGATGGGCCTCCCGGAATACCGCCGATTACTGTTCTAGGCGACAGGGATTGCTGACACTGCCAATTGCCGATGCCAAATGGCAGCGGTGAACAGCAGCAGCAGCAAATGGCAGCAGCAAACAGCTGCGATAGCGGTGATAAGTGGTGGCAGCAAACGGCAGCAGCAGCAAATGGCAGTGGCAAACAGCGGTGATAGGCAACGAATGGCGATGGCAGCAAGTAGTGACAGCAAACTGGCGATCGGCAGCAGCAATCCCCACCACCTAGAACAACTGATCGGCAGTATTCCAGGAGGCTGAGCCAACCGCCAATCAGCTGCTTTGCAGCGAAGGCTCCAGTGTTTCCTGTCAGCAGCAGCAACTCAGGTTAGTTGATCGGTGGTGAGTGCAATGGAGCGGATCCCTGACGAGCCATGTGCTGGGTCTGTGATAATGTGCTGAAGCTGATCAGGCTGTTTGCTGCAAGGAGGCTGGCCAGATGAATACCAGATGAATGCTGGGAGACAGAGCAGATTTTTTTTCTTCTTTTCCTCCTCTAAAGCTAATCTGCAACTTATGGTCTAGTGTGTCTTAAAGTGCAAAAAATACGGTAATTCTTTATATACAATGCAATTCTCCCCCCACCCTTTTTTTATTGGTTCTTTTCATTTGGAAGTGCCTTCTAGCACTTCCAAGCTTTGAGACTGGTCATGAGAAATTCCCCAAGTGATTGCAATAATTTGAGGGTGCCTTCATTAAATCCCAAAGAAGACATCAGATTGGGAAATGTGAATAGCTAAAATAGATACAAGGAGATGGAGAAACAATGTTGGAATACAAGTCAAGACATTCAGACTGAAACGTAGGAAGCATATTCTCTTTCATTATATTGTTAGGAAAAAATGCAGGTAAATTTCTCTAGGACTTTTTTTTCACGCAATGCTTTCTTTAATGTGGAGGTGGGTAACCATGTGGTAGCTCTGTATGTACAGACATACACAACGATGTGTTCCTTTATCAGTATGGCAGGAGCATCCATACCTGGCTTCTGCAATTGTCAGAAAGAGGACAGGGAATGGAGAAAAGAGCTTTGAGGTTTTTCTCCAGAATCCGGAATTTCAGGTTGCCCACCTTGGTATTTTTGAAGAAATAAAGCGGACATGAGTGTTACTTCTTTTATTCCAGAAAATGCAGGTCAATAAATAATATCTAGCAGAATAGTGACATACGTATATCTTTGTACTCTTCTTTTGAACATTCCCTAATTTAAATGAATTCTTCTTTTCCAGGGTTGGATGAACGAAATGCATTTTTATGACCCTGAGATTTATCATCCTTCTCTGACCCATTCCGTATTTGTGACCTTAGAAAATTCCAACCTGACGTTATCTTATCCCCAAAGCAGCATCCCTCGGCGAGCCATCTTTGGGGAAGAGAACTTTGAGTTGGCTTTTGTGACCCACCGATGTTATGATACGAGTGGAGCCAAGGTAAGAGTCATCAATAATGTATCTGATGGGGTGGTGGGTATGTGTAGTAAGTACAGATTTGAAATTTGGTGGAGAGGCTAGGAGAGCTTTCATCCCTTCATTCCTCTTTCTGCAGATGTGGTTCAGTCTAAGAAGTGCCCCTTAGATAAATTGGGGGTATTTGAGACCTCACTGGAAGATTTCCCATTCCTTTCTGTAAATGAAGCCTTTCTTCTAGTGTCATCCAGAAGGGATTAAAAACCTCGTCTTCCTACTTTACTGATTCAAACTGGACCCTTGTGTTTTCAGGGTATTCAGTCAAAAGGAAGATCATTGAATTTGAAGTGCTCCACATCAGCATTGTGCCTTCGCCTTTAGTTTCTTAGCTATCATGCTAACTTTTCAAACATGTTTTAGTTTATTACTTATAAAATAGGATGATCAGGTAGCTACTACCCCACAAAACTGTCTCAGAAGGAAGTTAAATTGAAATGGCTCAGAACTCATTGCATGATCGATTCATGTGAGATTTGGGGAAGTTATGGGAGAGGTCTTAAGATAATCATTCTTACTGTGAGATCACAGGATTTGGGCATTCTAAGGCAAGGTTTCATGGGATTCAAAAACCTAAGTTCATAAGATTGAACACATAGGACTCCTTGAGAGGATTGTCAGGTCATGCAATGGCATTTGGGTGGTTAAAAGATTGCTATTGTAATTCAAACTGCTTTTTTGTGGAGAAGGTGACTTGATTCTTTTGTGACTTTAAATTGTCTGTTATTTTTCAGGTCTTCCTCTTCCCACCTGGGCTGGCTCGCAAAAGGATGTGGAACAAAAAATATCCCATATGCATTCTTTTCCCAGAAGACGTGGATCTGAAGACCAAAGCTCTAGCAACAAAAGACCAGGATGTGGACTCTCCAGGAGAGGAGAACCCAAAGAAGAAAGAAGTATCAGGGCACTGCCCAGCTGAGGCCCAAGAAAGGACACTTTATCTCTTTGGTAGAACGGGTAGAGATAAGGAAGAGTGGTATCAATATCTCACAAGGGCCTGCCAAGCTGAATACCATGAGCTACACCACACCAGCCAAGGTGAACTCCTCTCAAGTAAAGCAGGCTGGGAACCATGGGTCCAACTTCCAGGGTTCCTTGAATTGATTGTCTCTTAATTTTCAGAAACAGAATGAGGAAATCCTGGGATGAAATCATGTTTCGTTTAATTAAATTGAACGGCATCTGTTTTTGTCTTGACCTAATCCAATCTCAATCCAATGCAATTCTTTGTTGCCACATCCATCCTGGGCACGGGGGTGGGGGGTGCCATTCTAAGGCCAAGGGTAATGCTTGCAATGCTAGAGCATCCACCTGGGTAGGAGTGGGAATAAAAAAAAAGTCATCCATAGAAAGGGTGTGGGCTTTTGACTTTTTTGACCCCCTCTGCAGATGCTGTCATCTTCTGCACCCTGTAGATAAAGAAAAGTTTCATGCAGTCTCACTTGAGCCAAGCAGCTGTTTCTTCGGTTAACAAGTGTAAGATTGATTGATTGAATCCTCTGGGATTGGGCGGCCTAGAAATTTAACAAATAAATAAATAAAAAATTTTAGATAGTAAATAACATTGAGGACCAAGTTGGATTAGAACCTACTGAGGAGTTTCTCACTTAAACCCAGTTGGAGTGATTTTCATTGGAAGCAAAACCCTGATCATTAAAAGGGTTCCACCACAAAACCACGTTCGACTAAACCGCGCTCAACGAAACCGCGTAGCTGACATCATCAACAGGGTGACAACAGCATGGAGACAGAAGCATGTTGTAAACGCTAAACCTAAAATTAACCCCTAAACCTAAACCTAACCCCCCTAAACCTAATCCTAAACCTAACCCTTAATCTTAAACCTAACCCTAAACCTAACCCTAAACCTAACCCTTAACCTAACCCTAAACCTAATCCTAACCCTTAACCTAACCCTAAACC